TCTTGTTCTTTACTTCAGGGAGAAAGCACCGACGGAACCAATCCAGAAAAAGGGTTCTCATTGTCCAGGCCTTGTTGTATGACCAAAAGACTGGCAGCTGGTGTTATCTTTTCCCTTCAAGGGTTTGGGGTTTAGTAGCTTTGTAGATGAGCGAAGTCCTGATCATAAACCCCCCTGCATTTGTGCACGACAGCCTGTCCTTTCCTACCTTAAAGCCTGGCGCTCACTGCTCTTCCTTACTGATACATGTGTTGTGTGGCATTTTTTTTTTTTTTTCCCCAGAATAGGACACTTTCATCTACATTAAAAACCTATTAAGGCGAATATCCTTTCTTCTCAAGGATTTTTCTTAATGGCACCTGGGAACTTGTCTGCTGCCTCTTTAAGTTGTCGTACAGTGACTTGACTTTTTCTCAAATGATATAATCTATAGGTATACCTTTATTAATAGTAATCCTGCACCTGCATAAAAGCTGCACTTTCAGTACAAGACCAAAAGGTATTTCACGAAAAGTGTGAGGTTTTCGTACCTGCTTGCATAGTGCAGCAGTGACTTCATGAACTTCCTTTTTTTTTTTTTTTTTACAGCGGTCCTTATGCTAGACTCATTTATCTTGAAGCGGTGGGCAGTCGCAGCTGCCACCTCAGCCTACAGCACACAGCAAGCAATTAGCTTTTTCTTGTAACGTCATGGCTTTGCTTCTTGGGAGCACTTCCAGCATCACTAATGACACTTTGTATGGGTCTCATGGTGTTAATCAAGGTTTACAATGTAGCGCTAAACATGGTGAGAAATATGCAAGAACTGTGAGATCCCTTTTTACTGCAATATGCAATTTACCGGCGAGAGGAACTGCTCACAGGGAGATGATTAACCACATGGCATTTTAAGTGGATACTCCCAACACTTGAGCTCACTGCAGTAGCAACAGGACGTGGCCAGGCTATGGGATTATTACAACCATAGTCTGAACTATAGTTAATTTTATGTAGTTATGATTTAATGTTGCATCTTTACATTTCTCATGACTGGTGCAATGTACGATCTGTGCATAAGTATTGATACATTTTAACTTTTTAAAATTTGTGTATATTTTATGGTAGTAAATGATAAAATAGACTAGTACCTACATATATTTTATACATTCACGACATACCTAATATTTTTCTTAAGTTTTTTGTTATTTCTTGGCTGTGTGGTTTGTCTGAGTTTTTTAAATTGTCATAAACTCCAAAAATTTTTCCAATATATTGATAGAAAACTCATGTCTAAGTGGGTCAGCACGGTTCGTTCAAACCTGTGTCGTTCAAGGGTCGACTGTAATTTCATGGTTCTTCACCCTCGGTGCTTCATTAATACCTGTGTAATAATTTCTAGGAACTTGGGCTTTTGTTTGGATTCTAAAAAAGGAGCAAAATTTTGGTAATGTTTACTTGTTACTGAGAGCTTAAACCAAGATGTAAAAACAGAACTACATCATGCCATTTATATATTATTTAATTGGAATAGTAATAACCAAAGAAGGCTAAGAAAAATACCTGTTGAGTTTTTTAATCTGCTGTTGTATTAGGAAAAATTACCCCTCCTAAAATTGTTATGGGAGATATAATCTACAAACATCCTAAATATGTACATTATGGTCCATGTATAATATAAACTAAGCACTTTGAAAAGGTGAATAACCAAATATTTGCCTAATTGGAGTATGGTTATCATGACTTTCAGAGACAGGTAGAAAAACTCTAAATACCAGGATGTCTTACAAAGTACAAGTTTGTTTTTATTTTAGTTTCACTGTATTTAGAGGCAATTAGGCCTATGTGCTGTAAAAATAACCTTTCAAATTAATAAAATGAATTTTTGAAAACTTTTAGATCTACATTCTCATAATTGGCCAGGTGAGTCTCACTCCCAAATACAGTGTGAGATTTGGGAATATCAGGAATTCATTATTCATATATTCAAATCTATACATGTATTGACTAGTAATTTTAAGTAATCCTTTGCTTCTTGCAGTTATTGGTGCCCACGTTGAATAATGAAGTTTGAGTTTCACAAATGTGCAATAATGCTATACCTTTCCTGCAGCATATCCTGAGCATGTAAGCTGTAATAAGGTATTGAATTATTAATAACAAATGGTTGTCCTTTATTAAGAACAAGTTAAGTCTTTTGATTTATGAATTTAATAGCTCTGCTTGACTTTAATGTGAATATTGCAAAACAGACACCCACTGGATTCTTTGTCAAAATGCAGGTTTAGGCTATGTTTTCCTTTTCTCTTTTTTTTGATACAGGCTCTTGCACTGTCACCCAGGCTGCATGTAGTGCAGTGGCATCATAGTTCACTGCAGCCTCAAACCCCTGGGCTCAAACGATCCTCCTGCCTCAGCCTCCCAAGCAGCTAGGACTATAGGTGCACACCACCATGCCCAGCTAATTATTTTATTTTTTGTAGAGATGTGGTCTTGCCATGTTGCCCAGGTTGGTCTTGAATTCCTGGCCTTAAGAAATCCTCCTACCTCAGCCTCCCAAAGTGCTGGGATTACAGGCATGTGCTACTGTGCCCAGCCCCTGTTTTCATATTTTAATGTGTGAGAAAGATTCAGCGTTTTCTATTATTAGATGGAATTCCAACTCTTCATAAGCCTTCCCACTCCCTTCTTAAGGCTACTTGTGTGGCAACATTGAAAATATAACCAAGTTAATGGATATCTTAAACTAATTCAGCTAACTAAACCAAAGAGTATAGATTTCATGTAATAATTATGGCATACTTTAAGTCATTATATTGCTGATAAATTCTAATAGCAGAACTGAAAAACAGCCATCTAAATAAATCTGTTATTGTTTAAAAAGCACAGATAGGTTTTAGGCATTGGAGCATGCCATGATGATGTAAAAGTTGCTCTGATGTATTCCTCATTCCAGACTGAAATGTCACATTCTGTAACAAGTCTGTGTATATACCAGTGCGCCTTAGTTTCAGCAGCACACTGTGGACTGAGGTTCAACTTAAACACATTTTTGTGGAAGTCATCAGTCAGACTGTCATATGGTTTAACTAACTTGAATACTCACTGCTTTCTTAAAACCCAGCTCTCTTTGAATGGTGGACATATTAAACATAAAATTCTTCATTTGTCCACATGTTTAAAAGCATTTGGCTTTTTGTTTCTACATGAGAATATCTTGCTATTAAACAAGGAAATAACAGGATAGTCTCATGTAGAAATAAAAAGTCAAATGCTTTTCTGGGCCCAAGACTTATGAAATAGGAGTTGACCCTGTTCAAAAGCTGCTTAGTCCATAAAGATTGATGTGATAGGATCTTAGCCTTCTAATCTCACTAGTGAGACAACGTAATAGTATCCCAAACGTTTTCTGCCTGTTGTGACCAGTAAGAAAATATGTCCACTAAAAAAACTATTTTGCTGCCACTTTCTGTAACCTATGACATCTCCATTGTGAGGCCTGGGAACAAGGGGTTTGGGTTTATTTTTAGTGTGAGTGAGTTAATACAATGGTAGGTAGGAATTTATTTTTCCCCTCAAGAGTAGAGGAGTATTAAATTAACCATGGTCTTGAGTTAGGTTTTAGGCATTATTCATACCAAGAATTTAATGAAATCAAGTCAGAACGCTTCATTCTGTAAGTATAAAACTAAATAAAATGACCTTTAAAAATAATGTGACTTGTCATAATCTGATGAAATAGTACTTTGTGACCCTGTGGTAACTGGACTTGCATTACTGTATCCATTATAAAAGTCTAGTAACTGAATTTCCAAGAAGACAAACTAGCTTCTCTCCCTGACGGTATAAAAAAGGATTTTTTTAGTAGAAATTATTTATCCAAAGTTATTTCCTTTACAATGAAAGACGAAAAATAGGTATAATGATATTCCGCTCTGACCAGTTTCAGGGTTTACATATAGATAAAAGTATAGCTATACAGGTAAAATCATCATTATAAGACTCTTCCTGATTGTGGGACTTTGAATGTTTGTTACTTGGAGGGACAGAACATGATGGGAACTGGCTTCACCATTAGAAAGCAACATTAAACAATCTGACAGTAAAAGAAATGCAAGCCATGAAATTTTTTTTTTGTTTTTTTTAATGTCTATATAAAAAATAACGAGCGATTTATAGATCTTTCTCTAATCAGAACCTCAAGTGTGTATATATAAAGGTACTGTACAATATATAAACATTTACAGCCAGTACATCCATATTTTGCTCAGCATTCCAAGGCCACATTGCTAAGTCGTATATAATCGGTACAGTGACAGGTTACTTAGGAAGAGCCACATCAGACTGACAACATATGACATCGGTTATGTCACATTTAACAATAAAAGGATTTGTATCACTAATTGTGGACTATAGGGAAAATAAACCATTTCTGTGATACTAAATTCTTAGCATTTATCAAGCCTCCTAGATTTGCTCTATTCGAGTAGTTACAATAGGTGGGTAAATATAATTCTGGATGAAAAGAGGATTTCGAAAATCTCACACTGGGAAGCATGTCTTATCTACAGGGGCTGATACAGTTGTTACATTAAAGAGCTTCACAGTCAGACTCTCAGAGGGAAGGACTGGACATAATGTGTTTCACAAGATGAACCCAGGGTGACGGAACGAGTGTGTTCCAGTACTCCATAGCACAGGCTTATTCTGAGAAGGTGCCTTTATTTAATAGATGCTACTTCAGGGGACTGAAAAACCTGGATTTATTTTATGGAGTCAACTGTCTCCAATTTCCAACAAACATCTTTATTTAGACTTTTAAAAAGAATTCTGAAAATTTGTACAAGCGAAGCAGATGTTTAGTCTCACTTTCTTGTTTTTAAATAAGAAAGTCAGTGTAGCTAAAAGTTAAAATTAAGATCCAGCAAGGACTGTCTACACCACGTTCGTCCTTACTTGCTGGCAGGCCTTACGCAGCTTCTACTTCTAAACATCCGAATTTTTAAACATCTGCTACCAGAAGAGTTGGTACTTTATCTGTCCATGGACTGTGAAACTGGTTTCATGATCACGTCCCTCACACAATCCATATCATTTTGACTCTTCAAATATGTATTCTGTATTAAAAGCCAATGACTTTAGTAGTAGGTACAATCAGAATATCCACAAATAGTTGGCAGTTTTTCTCTGAAGAGCAATAAGCGCTATTTCCACATGCTTCTTTGTGGTTTCATAATGAACTAACTGAAATAGAAAGGGTGGCCTGAGATGCTATAACTACATCAAGGTTGGATAACACAGCAGGAGGTAAACTGTTACTTAAAATGTAAGTACTTTCTCATTTCGAACATTCAATTGTAAGTAATATCTTTAACAGTTATTTGAAACACCTTATCTAGCCAAATTAAAATAAAAAGCCATAAGAAAGCATCAGTATTTGACTATATATTTTTTTCCTTAAAAGTAGTGATGTTTTGGAGTTTTATTTTTGAACTGGGACATCATCAGTAGCTGCTAGAAGAGACAATTGCCATCTTTAATGATGAGTTAACAATCTCTTCTGCAAGGACTCAATACTTCTCTCTGTAAACATGCAACATGCTATTGAGAACATCAACTTCCAAGCCAAACCTAACTTTTTCATTGGTGTGGAAATAGCTGAATGAGAAGGCTAAAACAGACATGATGCAGTAGCTAACCTGGCACAAATACAAAGTGAGCTGTGACCACACTGTTAATATCGACACACGTCATCTGTTCAGACACTCATGAAGACGAGCCGGGCAGCCTGAGCAGCGCGTGAGACGAGCGCGTGGATGCAGCTCCTTCCTGAGTGCGAGGGAGGGCGGCCAGCCATGGGGACAGCTGGTTCTTAGCAATCCTAAAGGCCCTTCATGCAGCCTAGGTAACTTGGTGCTCAAAGTAAAACGTACTTACGTGTCTCAGAATTTCTGAAAAAAAAATTGTTTTTCTGGAAAAATGCTGCTTTTTAGTAAGAAAAGATTACAACTTGTTTTTCTTTGTTTTACAATAAAGGTCACAGCCGTTTCTCAGCCACACCAGTAGTGCCTGTGACTTTATTCGCACTTGGCACCTTCCAGGGCCCTGGAGTTATTGGTGTTTTCTTAACTGGAGAACTACATTCAGGTTTGAACCCTCCAGTCTCTTTGTTTTTGTCAGCTGCCTCTAGTTCTTTCCCTTTGTGACCTTCTATTTTGTTTAAAACCATTCTCTCTTCAGGTTCTTGCTTCAGCTTCTTTTCTGATATTTGGACATTTTCTCCTACTTTATCTTTGCTAAAACTTGTTTCTCCTATGATTGCTTTCTTTCCTTTTTCATTGTCAGATACTATTCTACTAGTAGTGTTATTAGTCTTTCTGGATGGAAGAGACTTTTCATGCATTCTTTTGTTTTTCTCTGGAGACCTCGTTCTGTTTTTTCCCAACTGACTCTGCTTTGCATCTTTCCTGATGACACCTGATTTTTCTTTCCCATCAGCATTATTGTTAGCATGGCCTGTTGTTCTTTGACTCTCATCTAATAATTTGGCTTCAGTATTTGATGGATCTTTGCTTCCTTCAATTTTTTGCTGCTGCTTTGGGCTGGAAGAATGTCCTCTGCTTTTTCTGCAGTGATCTTGTCCAGCACCTGCCTTGGTGCTGATCTGACAGCTTTTGTTCTCCCCTTTCCTGGGGCTCGGCGATCGCTCTCTTGGTCGTCTTTTGGGGTCATCCTTTAGAGGACTAGAAACCGTTTCCAAATGTTCCTCTGAATACTGACTGGATGACTTTTTGGGACTAGCAGATCTACCTCTTCGTCTAACACCGTTTTCTACTTTTAATAGATTTTTCTTGTCACTGTGCCCATGACTGTTGGGTGGATCCCGCTTATTCACATTTTTCTGGAAGAGAGACTGATGCTTCATTTCAGACTGATTTTCATTTAAAGTGCTTTTCTTTTCAGGCGCAGCGTCCTTTAATTCTTCTTTCTTTTCACATATCTGAACTCTCATTAAAGATTCTTCAATTGCTGGCACGTGAGACTCTTCAAATATGGAAGCAGAATGTGAAGATGGGGGAAATGGTGACTGTTCATCATAAATCACATTTGAAGATGAAAGACTGTTAATATCCCAATCACCTAAAAAAGTGATTTGAGTAGAACATTATTAAATTTTAGAATTATAAATAGGAATAATAAATTTTGAACTTTGACAGCCATTTGAATTATACTGACTGCTTAAACAGCTTGAGTATGAGTATTTTATACAGTTTGTATATGTTTACATATCTCTCTGTAAAGACAGATGTGTACAGACATCTGTTCATACTTGAAAGGTAGGTTGTTTAGATACAAAATAACAGTATTCATTTTTCCAATTATGTATGGTGAGATAATATATGATCTGTAAATTCTTTATTAGTAAAGCCCAATCAGAAACTTAGAAATAATAAAATTGGACCAAATTACCTGGTCCAAGAAGTTTACTAATTATCAAAGGATATAGCTTAAGGAAATGACAAAATCACTAATTAATAAAGGAAACCAAACTGTGGTAACCAGAATAAGGTTCATGGGCATTTGTAAACAATTTTCTTGCATTAAGCTGTCAAATTTAATGTCAAAAGGAGACTGAAAGTGCAGAAGACAGAAACAGATGTATTTAATAGCATCATTTTTAATTAAAAAGAAAACAAAAGAAGGAAGTGATTTACAAGACATGCAAATTTACCAAGTCTTTTTAAGGAAAGACCAAGAAAAGCCCTGAAAGCCTTAATGTTGCTCAGGTTTCACGTAGGAGCACAGACCGGAAGGAGCCAAACCTGAAGAAGGAAGAGAAAAAGCCTAGGACTATGTGAAAAAAAATCAGCGCAGTTAGCAAAGATGTCACTGGGAACGTATGATTTACGAGCAGATGGTGGAAGGTAATACAGTCAGAGAATCATAAGCTGCAAGGGGACTGCAGGAGGTTATGTCTACACTTACTCCTCACAAGCTCGGTGGTGGGTTTGAGGCAGGGAACCAAAGGAGACAAGTACTAAAGACAAGTACTGCCTTTATTCTAGAACAGTGCAGTCAATTAAAAAATAGTGATTTTCAAATACTGTGATATTTCAAAAACATACAATGAGCAATACAACAAAACCAAGGGAGTTTAAGGTCAGTACAGGAGTACAGACATGGTCGCAGGTCCCACTCCTTGTCTCCAGGGAAGGCTATGGCAAATTGTTTTTGACAAGTGGCCAGAGACCTTAAAGTTTTTATGCTATTTACGCATACAGATATAATCTTATTAATACTTTACAGAAATAAATATTTGTTGGTAATGTGTAATTAGCCAAGGAAGGGAGAATGCTAGGATATTCTGAAGAGATTTAAAATGTTTTTCATGATAGTTGTTTGCCTCTAATTAATGTACTTGCTTTTTACAGGCACATTTCTCTATAAAAGCACTATATGTTTTCTGATGAAATCAATTTAAAATATATTCCATTCCAACAAAAGTCTTGCTTGAAGTCACTTGTTTTGTAATACTATTACGATAGCTCTGTAATTAGCTTTTGATGGTTCTGATATTCACCTCTGAATTAGCTAGTAAAATATCCCCTTCAAATAGATACTCCTTTTTGTTTTGTCCCCTCCCTAACACACAATTTTTTAGCTACCAGTGGTCTACTTTACTTACCGTGGTCAGGTATCAAGCCAGTTCCTGGCCTCAAAAGAAGAAGAACTTTATTTCCACCAGCCTGAATGAGCTCAATTGCTCGAGTATGTGTGATTCCTTGGGTAGGTTCCCCATTGATTTCAACAATCTGGTCACCAACCTAGACAGGGAACATTCACAGCAACAACATGAAACTGTGCATCCTTCTTCAATTCTGCTTTTCTCAACTCTTGAGCCGTTCAACCTTGCTAAGTGACTCTATTTCATCTATAGAATACTTAACTTGTACACAGTGCTATCATGCTAGAGCTGATGAGAGGACAAATGGTAGCAATACGAAGAGACAATGTCTAGTTTTATTTACTCTATAAAAATCCTACATGGAAAGTTTTATATGGCTGGTAAGTCAGGATCTGGGTATCTTGAAATCAATAATCAAATTCTGGGCCAGGAGCAGTAGCTCATGCCTGTAATCATAGCATTTTGGGAGGCCGAGACAGGTGGATCACTTGGGACCAGAAGTTCGAGACCAGAATGGGCAACATAGCAAGTCTCTGTCTCTAAAATAATAAAAATAGCTGGGCACGGTGATACATGTCTGTAGTCCCAGCTACTCAGGAGGGTGAGGCAGGAGAATCTCTTGAGCCCAGGAGTTTGAAGTGGCAGTGAGCCACAATGATACCACTGCACTCTAGTCTAAGCAACAGAGTGAGACTCTGTCTCAAAAAAACAAAACAAAAAACAAATAAAACCCTAAAAAAATTAAGCTTGGAGACCAGATTAATATGAACACGTATTTAAAACCAATAACTAGCACATGCTTAATGACTTTAGTTTAAAATCATTTCGCAGGAAAATAAACATAAAACTAGGAATCAGAATAAGACGTCTCAATACCATTGCTATTTATTAG